GTCCAATTCAAATACAAATTATATTCGATTTACTCGCGCGCGGCGACGTAACAAAATGGGTGTCCTCCCTAGGCAAAATCGACGTTCTGGACGCGCTGGTGCAGTCCGTTTCGTCATTCGGGGTTGCTCGGACGGCGTCATCGATAATCGGGTCAAAAACGCGTCAAAATTCAAATTTCACAAAATTTCGACTCGCGATCGATTGTTTCAAGAGGTTAACTCGAGCATTCGACAAGTAACAGTGCAAACGAAGCGAATCATGGCGATCGGACGTGTCGACTCTCCGAATTGCGAAGTTTGTGCGCGCGGGAGTGCGAATTGTGCAAAAGGTCACCCTAAGGCTCAAAAGGTCCTATAGGGATCCCTTTTGGGTTTCCTCATGTTGGTTTCACTCTTCTAAATGCTAGAAGTCGATACCACACACTTGGAACCACAAAAGAAGACGGAAGCGGGTTGAATTTTTTTTTTAAAAAAAATGAGACGGGTCCCATTTCTAAGGTTCTAAGATTTGCATAATCGTGTGATCCCTAAGGCTAGATCCTAAACCCGAAGAGGAAGACTAGACCTCATTAAAAATGAGTTCAACAGATATCCATCATGATCAAAATCTTTTCAACTGATAATTATCTTTCCCATCTTCTCAGTATAGGCTTGTAGTTCAAGCGCCTCATAACAACAACTTGCAGGGTAGCCTAAAACTCCAATCCTTGTTGGCCTTTACAAAGAAATAGCTATTCCTCTAGCCTTTTTTACAAGGGCAATCCAAAGTATGCTTAAAGATCAGGAAGGCTTGGCCGAGAAGAGGCATACGCCATCCAAACACGTAAACTTGAAGAAGTAAATCTGTTGTGCCAAGTCACATCTTACTTGTAGAACAACAACTTCACTCCTCAAAGAACATATGCATTAGGAGATAGCCAAACTAATGGTAACTGGAAAGTAAGAAAAGATCACTTTTGCCGTGTTGGTAGTGTTCAACCTCTCCTTTTTTATATATGATATGGATTTTGTGCTTTATCTTCAGCTTCTCCTATGTTGTGAAGTTGACAATACTCTGGTAAAAGGAGACTACATCTTGAGAATTTTCATCCTTGGTTGATATCATTGTTGAAGCAATTAATGGAATAATAAGGGAATGATAAGGGAAACCGTAGTTGTAAGAGCTTTGAAAGTAGTAGGTGTATTGAAAGTAGAAGTTTGCATTAAGGAAATGAGTTTTTTTATATTTAGGGGTATTTATAATATGAAATACTAGAAGTATCAGGAGGAATTTTAGAAAATCATGGCACCGTGTATGAAATGCTATCACATTATCATCATTACAGATATCTTTTTAAGTCTTATACAAATCATGAGCCTTTGATTGTTGTTCAGAAAGAGTCCCTTTATCGAGTAACATTTTACAATTAGTTGTGTTTATTATTAAGGGCCCGTTTGGGGCAGCTTATAAGTGCGGGGGCATTTTTGAAAACACTGCGGTACCGTTTGGTTCGTGCGTTTTGCCCGTTTATCCAAAAGCGCTGTTCCATTTTTACACTAAATGTAGGCCGCGGGTCGAACCCTGCGGTCGACCCGCGGACGGCGTTTCAGGATAAGCTGCTTATCCTGAAACGCACAAGCTGTCCAAAAAACACCCTAAATTTATAATCCAAAGCATTTTCTCTCTGAAATGTTCAGTCATCTCAAAAAATCCTATTCATAGCAAGGTGTCTTAATGAAATTTCTTTGGAATTCGTTTATACTCAGATATCTTGAATATTATGTGTAGACATTCTTGAGATTGTCTTGAAATGAACAAATACATAAACATCACACAATTTGATTCACACTTCCAAAATTCAATAAACCACAAAATATCTTTTCGTTGACTTTGAATAAATCATTATATTTTTTTTAAAAAGGATTAAAAAAAATCCTAAAAAATTGTATCAGACATGCTTATGTTGGTAGGAGATGCTCGGTGGAAGAATCTTTTCATCCTATACCCATGCTCTCGGGGAGCATGGCATGCTCATCTCCCTTAGTGGACGGGATCCTTTGCTGTTGTCGATTATTGTGCAGCTTTTGAGCACTTTGGTTGTGCTCTATCTTACCACCGCTAACTTGATATGGCAGCAATCATCTTTGGGCAGAGTGCTAAGACATTGGCAACCTGAATTGCCTCATCTGTCAAGTAGTTCCAGTATTTCAATTACATTAAATTTGCATGCTCTTTATTAATGCCAAATTTGTGCTTAACTCATCTGAATACCACTTCAAACAGTATGGTTTGGTGAAGAAACCAACCATTTTTTTGCTCCTGGTTGATGTCCTTGTTAGAACTCCATATTAGTTCGATGAACATTTATTCTTGCTCTGTGCGTTTGTTGCTTGCCCTGATAGAATTTAATTTTTATTTTTTCCAGAGTCGCCATTTTCACTTATGTGAAGGCTGACAAAGTGTAGGAAGAGAAAAACCTAGAACCCTTCAATATATGAACAAGAATTGGCTCCACAAGTTCTTTTCTTGGAGATTTCATATCTCTAGTGCTTTTCTATTGATCATTTCCTTCTGTTTCTTTGCTGATTCGACCTGGATGTGTATACTTTTGCATGAGTTGGCTACGCGGCTTGATGGTGATGGTTGTTCTCTTGGAATTGAATGCTTTGGCAAACTTCTCATGAAAAATATGTACAGTGATGAGTTGTTAGTGATCAAGGGAGTATGACTTCTTTCTTGAGTAGAAAGAAGTTTGCGGGGACAAAAAGCAGTTTAAGTGATAGATTTTTTAAAGGTTAGGCTGTGGATTTTAATAATAGGGGAATTATAGCTCATAATTTTATGCACGAGTAAAAAGAAAGAAAAGGTTAGGATGCTTTAAAGGCTAATTAGATAGATATAACCTATACATATTAATGATAATCACAAATTTGTAGTATGTTGCTTGAGAAGATGCGATTAGAATGAGTTGCTGCCGAAGTCATTTACATTAACAGTTTATGATCATGGTTTTTACACACCGATTGACTTGATATTCAAACATGCTATTTACATTTGCAGGCTAAATTACTTTTTTTTTTTGCTAAATTTGGTAACTCACTATTGATTAATGAATTCACTAATTCTAACCAATTTATTTCTTCCTACATGCCCGTAATTCTAGCCTGCATATTTCTTGCTAGATGGATATATTTGAGTTCTCATCAATGCTTACTGTTGTGTAATCAGTTTCTTATCCAAACATTTAGAAAATTTTGTCCAGAAAGAACTCATTTAGCGGAGTTAGATATAAAGACGAACCTGCAATATTTGCTTGGGAGCTTATGAATGAACCTAGATGCGTGCTGAACTCATCCGCTCCTCTTCTTCAGGTAACACATTCATCTATCGTAGTTTTCTATTGTAAACTTGCAAAATTTCCTACAATATGCGTTTGATTTACCAATTGTTTTGGAGCTTACACGCTACAAATTGTGAGGCAGGAGTGGATTGCTGAGATGGCTTCTTACATCAAAAGTTTGGATCAGAAACATCTGGTCACAGTTGGGTTAGAAGGTTTCTATGGACAAGGGAGAACTGAAAGATTAGGTGCTAATCCTGGAGAGTGGGCTTCTTCTCTTGGTTCTGATTTCATCCAAAACTCCGCCGATGAGAACATTGATTTTGCTTCAGTTCATGCATATCCTGACAGCTGGTTGGTTTCAAAGCTACTTCTGTTTGAGATAATTTGTTGTCTGCTTTGTGTTTTAGACCGTTGCTACAGCTTTGTTTGAGGGACTGCCTTCTTGCTACATTCTAGAAACTTTTGTGGTGAAGATTTGATTATTACAATCAAATCTGTAAAATGTGGTGGTTATAAAAAAGCTGTCTGATTTTTTGAAAGAAATAAATATTTATAATTCATACGGTAGCTTTTTAATAAATTTCTTTTCCCACCACAGCTTACATTCATCCACTTTTACCAAAAGCTGCAGCTGTCCCAAATGGACTCTTAGATTGCAAATCAACTTTATCCTGAATTGAGGGGGGCTTTTTTATGTTTTTTTTTTTAAATTTTATTATTATTATTTTTTTTTAGGATACCAAAAGCAAGCTTTGAGGAGAAGGTCAAGTATCTCTCCAGCTGGGTTGATTACCATGTGAATGATAGCGAGCATGTACTGAAAAAGCCAGTGCTTTTTGCTGAGGTTGGGTCTCGCTTAGGAGGAAAGAAAAATGGATCTTATGATAGGGATATCATCCTGAAGATAGTTTATGATAAGTTATATGAGTCTGCAAAGAAAGGCGAAGCTGGAACAGGAGCTTTGATATGGCAATTGATGATTGAAGGAAAACAACCATATAAGGATGAATTCTCGTTAGTAGCAAGCCAACATCCTTCAACCTACAAGCTCATATTGCAGCAGTCTTGCAGATTAAGGAAATTGTTTCGAAGAAAAGGAGAAACAAGAAGCATTTTGTGGCCTTGTACAGATGCCTAATTTTGAGGTACTAAATATTCTTTTTCCGACATATCTGTTCATTTTCTTCAAATTTGATCGTGAAAAGTCTCCTGATTGTGCATGTTATTTTTTTTAGTACAGTCGATTTTTGTATATGTTTGAATCGAGCTTGGGTTACCTCATTTGCTCCATTCATTTAACAAGTAATTGGTAATTTTAAAGGTATAAAATTATAGAAGGTACAGAATTGCATAGTTTTAATATTTGAATTTCTTTGTGAAGTATGGAATTGAAGTTTTTGTAGATTCCATCTGACTGAATATTGTACTCACAATAAATCACATACTTCAGGCAATAAGCAAAAATAAATTAATCAAATAATTAATCATGTTAAAACCTTAAAATGCAGTTGCTCAAATGCTGAATTTCAGTGGCAAGGGATTTTGTTTTGACTTAATTCATGCTGGGTAGGTCCTGTTGTCCGCTATACTACGGTATTTCGGTGTACTACCTTTGCTTATTAGTTGTTTTACTTTTGTTTCTTGGTTTGTGTTTATTTTTTGTCATAATTTTGTAGTTTATTTTTCTTGTGATCGATTGCTTTATTTTCTTATGATGGAAGTGTGGGAAAGACATCATAAAATCTTAGAAGGCATAAACATGATAAATGAAACACTTCTGTAAATTAATCATATCATAAAAATGCTTTGGATATTTTATCATGACACAAAAAAAATCATATAGCTATAAAATGTTCTATTTTGTTGAGCCACTTAAATACGACATTTTCTCATCATCGATAGTTAAGAGAAGAGTCAGCCAAAAATTGTCTCTTGGTGATGTATCGTTAAAAAGAAAGCATTTAAACTTCTAAAAATAAACATTCTCTCTCTAATATTCATTGCCTCCAACGATTTTTAATCTAATACCTGTAATAACCGGTTTTAAAAAATAATAAAATAAAAAAATAATGGTAATAATAATTTATTAATACAAGTGCCATTCCGTGGAGAAGTGTCGCTTGAGGGAAAACAAAATGAAATTTATATTCCTTGTTTCCTTCTTTCCCCACAAATGATAGTTTTGGACGAGGGAGAGAGCGAGATAGAAGAAGTGAGGGCGAGATAGAGATAGGGAGGAGATGAAGTCGTGAGAAAGAATGGAGGAAGAAGTGTGTGCCTTAACTGAAGAAGAAGAAGAAGAAGAGAGTTGTGCGGGTGACTTACTTCATGAAGGAAGAGTAGACGAGATTCACGTGTGCAATCCTAGTCGATTTGAGCACATGAAACTCGTTTAGGTGTTTGTGTGAAGAGGAACGACGCAACATACAAGGCAAGAAGAAGACATGAAGTGGGGAAGTAAGTGCTTCATTTCTGTGAAGAATTGGAGTCAGTGTCGAAGCAACGTCGCATGCTCATCTTATCGAGGGAGAAGTGGTCTTGCATGCGAGGAAGGTGGGTGAGCTGCAGAGAGGGAAGGGAGAAGGTGAGGGCACGACCTCGTGCTTGAAGTGGATAATCGGCCCAGACAAAATTCTGGTGGAGTGACTCTTTGTATGCTAAGGAAGAAGTAGGCAGAGGCGAGGAAGGCGAGTGAAGGACCTTTACGTGTGAGGCTGCTCGAGTTCATGAGCCGCATACAATAAGGAGGTGAACCGAGGTTTAAAAAGGTGAGAGTAGGTTTTGTTATTCAAGTATTGTTAGTTTAATATCAAGTTTTATGGATTAGATTTTATTAATTTATTTTAGAAATCATAAATCAATGAGCGTAAGTTTTTGGATTCAGAAATCATTGATTTCACATAAGAAATCATGTGAGTAAGGAATGAGATCGATCTAAAAAACTTATAAGGTAAACTGTTAATGCTATTATTTTTATTAGAATAAATGATATAATTAATGTTATTAAAATTTATTCAATTAGGATGTGTGAAAGAAGGCTGTTCAGAATTAAGATTGACAAAAGATTGACAATATAGTAAAGTGGAGGAATAAAATTTATAGAGGTCACTTAAAGAATGAAGTGAGTAATTATGCTTTTAAGTTATAGAAATATTTCTTATTTTTGAATATATTATTGCTTACAATTTTCACTATTATTCCTATTGTCAATGTAATTAAACTATATCTGATTCTTCTTATTGATAATCATGAAATTTACATTTTAAAACTATTGTATAAATAGTTGCATTTTAGTTTTCCTAAGTGGTCACTACATTATAGTTTTTCTAAGAAGTTGCCACATTACTATATGACATGTAAATTTTATTATATGTGCATAAATCAGTTTATTTCATTACTTATAATTTTAGTACGAGTGCAATTATTTATTAGTAGATAAATATAAAATGTTTTGTAAGAGAATAATGTATGTTGTAAAAAATGAAATAACTTATATATGGATGCTTGTATGTGCATGCTACGAAGAGGAGTTCACCTCATTTTGGTATAGGTAGGAGACGCCAGTGTACCCATGTGTGTCGATGTTTTCTTATCACCCTAGATAATTGTGATATTTAGATCGCTAACAGTTGCGCCACCGAGTAAATATTGGTTACGGGAGAGTATGCATTTTTTCACCTCAGATAATCATGTAAATTAGATCATGGATCGTTGTTACTACGAGATAGTATTATCCATGGTTGTGTTAGGTTATGTTTTGACGATGCTTTAAAAACAGATGTGAATGTTAATAATATAAAATAAAAGTAAAGTTAAAGACTAAACATTGAGAAGTTAAAGTTAATGCATATAAAAGTTTAAGTTATTTTCATTAAATAAATGTCATGGACACATATATTAGATTATTATAAGATTTTTATAGAAATATGAAAAATTAGCATGTATATTTTCTTTTCTTTTCTTTGGGTTGCTGTAGTTTGAAAGAGTGATTGTTCCTCGATTATCTTTAGATAACTCATTATGTTATTTTAATATTTTTTTAAGGTTTTAAGCTTTTGAATAAGATAAAAGGTTTTAAGCTTTTGAATTAAGATAAATAGAAGGAAAACCAAAGCGAACAAAATACAACGTCAGCAACCTGAAGGGTAACTATATTTTTTCAATGTAATTATTTTTTAGTGGCTCGTTCAATTAATATTTTAAATATTAAAGTTTTAGTGATAGGCATAGAATATCGGATTTTTTTTTCCATCGTTTGATCGCTCGTTCTTGTCTTGTTTAATTCTAAATCTCGGGTCGGGTCATGACAAAAGTTGTATTAGGGCAATGATTTATATTAAACAACAAGAATCTTAATGAAAGAACGGTTAAAATGATTGAATTAAGTTATAAATAATAAAAAATTAATAATTTAATTGAGTCAAAATAAATTATTTCGTCATTATTTCAGAATTATGGATGATTAGGAGAAAGAGGCCAGTGATGATAATGTTAAGTTTCATATTCCATATTGTCATAGTTAATGTTGATGTATTTTATGATCCGATGAATGCTGTGACTCAACTGATTAAAAATTCTCAATATCAAGCTAGTGGCAGCAGAGGAGCATCGATAGATAAGTATTTGAATTCCTTTCAATATATGAGGCCACTTCTCAAGGATGAAGTCAGGTGGATACTGAAAAATGACTATTGAGAGTAGAGAAGATTATAAATGGGTTGTTATGTCCACCAGAGAAGATTGTTACCCTTACCACATTTGCTTTTGAGGTGGAAGCTGATAGATGGTGATAAGGTTAGTTACAGGAGAAATTTGGTAGTCGACCTAGTCTTCTAGTGCAGTGGGATGAGTTTATGAGACACTTAAGAGACAAGTCTGTACCGCTGTCAGCCAGAAGAAATATACATGATAAATTTATTAGTTTTTTGCAGGAAGATGACTCCCCCCCCCACCCCAAAAAAATGCAATTTTCAATATATTAAGTGAGGTAGGTCATTCAAATAAGAGAAGATAGTAAGTCTCATTATGTATCTAACAAAAACACATATTTGGCTAATGATAAGAGCCTGATAAGCTAGAATATCTTTAGGTTTTAGGCCTGAAATTTTAATGTTCGAGGAGTGGAATATTTAATAGCGCATTCTTTAAATCGAAAGTATTTCTTCAAAAACACTTTGCATATTTGAGTGCATGAGAGAACAAGAAAGCACATAAGAAAAATAATCAAAATTGCAAAAATAACAACTAAGACTAGTTGTGAAAATGATAGTGTAATTAATTTGATGGAGGCAATCACCATAATCATACCCATGATGTCGAGTTAAAGCTCAAGCACCATCTAAAATGATATCCTTAATAGTAGCCTTCACTTGTAGAGAAAACCACTAACATATGATTGACTTGACCGCATTTTAATAATAGACCCTAAGAGCTAATGGTCAAAATAGAGTGATAGATTGCTATTAGTTTTAACATTAAAATTCAATTGTTTATAGATATAACTAACACTATCATGAAGTAATTTTCAGAAGTGGGAGGCAATGAGTGATGGCTTTTTCCAAAAAAACAAGGTACATATTAAACCAATTGACAAGAAACAAATTTGTATTGTAAATCATTCTAACATAACTTTACACATTAGATTTAAGGCATTCAACGAGGGTAAGCCCAAACTACCATGTTATTTAGAAAAGAGTAAAGATCATGCAGAACTTTTTTTATTAGTATTGTTATAATGCAAGTAATCATATATATGACTAATAAATCTTTTAAAGATGCCTTTAGAAGCTTGTTATTATGCAAGCAATTGTTACTATGCATCTTTGTCGTAAAGTCCATTTTGGAGGAAAAATAATTTCCAAGCCTCATGCATGATCATAGGAAAATAAACATCAAAGATGCAAGCAATGATCCAATTGACAAAAATTGCAGAAAAGCCAATATTCCATAAGTGATTTTTTATGGAACAAGCAGTTAACATGATCAAATGCTTTTATAGGATCAACCTTGGTGCATAATTTAGTAGAATTGAAAGAATTATAACTATGAAAAAGCTCATTGGTCGTAATCGTATTATCATTTATATCCCACATCCACGAAGTCATGTTGACCTGTGAAAATAAGTTTGGGAATGATAAGTTTTAATCTATTAATAATTACTTCAACATTGATTTTATGGAAACTGTTGCAAAACAATATTGACCTATGATCCTTGGCTGCTTTAGATTGAAAGTTTTGAGAATCAATATAGAAGTCATATGTTTCAGATGATTTGTGATTTTGACTATAATAAATAAATAACGCACATCCTTTGTTGAAGTAAGCTTCAACAATATATTTATTAATTTTCGTATTAGTCAAACATTCAACTCCTTGTTCCTATTAGCTTGTGCTTGCGCGCGTGTAAGGGTGAGTGAGGCCCTCAGAGTTTACTTATTTATAGAAAACTCACATTTATTTTCATTTATTTAGATAGCCAAATATGTTTGAAAAAAAAAAAAACCTGAACAAATAAATGAACAAACATGAACAAACACCTTAGTTACTAAGTTTATTTGTATTTCAACTAGTAGCTCATCAAAAAATTTAATAAACTGCTCAATAAAGTTTATTTTACATTACTGTATGAAATATATTATTATAAGTATAAATGAAATGAAAATGTTGAGCCAATTATAATGAGATTATGGATTGAAAACCTCAATTATTTTTTTAGATCACCAAAATCGAACATATTATTTATTAAAGTAAACTAAAACTCAATTTCAAACCAAATTCAATAAGAAAATTTGAGCAAGAATTTCAAATATTGGCTATGCTGAATCTAGATTACAAAATGAATGAATAATCTGCTTGATTTATTTCAAATGAAACTCTCCTACTAACATTTGCTTATTCTTCTTGGAAAAAAAATAATAATCTCACATTCCAGTAATGCTGATGGAAGCTGTACATTTATTGAGAGGTTTGATGGAGAAGTTCAGAGATAATAAGGAGAATCTACATTTGATTTTTATTGATTTAGAAAAAGCTTATGATAAGGTTCCAAGAGATATCCTTTCGAGAGTTCTTGATAAGAAAGATGTTGATTTGTCGTATATTCAAGTCATTAAAGATATGTATACAAGAGATGTTACTTGTGTTCGAACTGAAGGGAACTGAAGGAGGATTTTTCCTATTTATGTTGGATTACATCAGGGATCGACTTTAAGCCCATATCTTTTTACTTTAGTTATGGATGGTCTTACTAGACATCTACAGGAGGATGTACCTTGGTGTATGCTTTTTGCTGATGATATTCTTCTCGTGGATAAAACGAGAGAAAAAGCCCAGGAAAAACTTGAA